TCAGAATGTTATGGAAGTGAATGTTGAAAACTGAAAATAAATAAATTAATCTTAAAAAAGATTAAAAAATGTTTACAGGAAGTTTTTCTGTCACACACATTTCTCAAATACATAGGAAACTGAGTTAAATGTATAAAAAGAAGAGCCATTCCCCAACTGATAAGCTGTCAATGGATATGACAGGTAGTTTCCAGAAGAATTCAAAGCTATCTAGTCATGTGAAAAAATGCTCTAAATCACTATTGATTAGAGAAAAGCAAAGTAAAACAACTTTGAGATACCATCTCACACCTACCAAAAATGACAGATGCTGGAGGGTGTAATGGAAAATAGGTACACTAATATACTGCTGTTAGAGTTGTGAATTGGTCCAACCATTCTGGAAAACAATATGGAACTATGCCCAATGGGCTATTAAAAACCATGTAAACCTTTTGACCCAGTAATACCACTACTATATCTATACCCCAAAGAGATCAAAGAAAAAAGAAAACTACATGTACAAAAATATTTGTAGCAGATTTTTTTTTGTGGTAACAGAATTAGAAATTGAGTGGATGCTCATCAATTGGGGAATGGCTAAAGAAGTTGTGGCATATGATTGTGATAGAGAATTATTGTGCTATCCATACATGGAAATGGTAAGAGTGTGGGGAATGTGGTTTAAAAAAAAAAACATAGCAAGATCTATATGAACTGATCAAAGTGAAGTGAGAAGAACTGGGAAATCATTGTGCACAACAACAGCAAAGTTGTAATGATGATCAACTGTGAAAGATTTCGCTACTTTGGTCAATACAGTGATCCAAGACAATTCCAAAGGACTCATGAGGAAAAAATGCTATCCATGTCCAGAGAGATAACTGATCAACTCTGAGTACAAATTGAAGTATAATTTTCTTGTTTTTTATTTTTATTTTTTGCAATATGGCTAATATGGAAATACGTTTTGTGTGGTTTTGATGAGATTCAAATAGAGTGGTCAATGAGAAGCCCATTATCTCAAGTCCCACTTAAAGCTATTTTAGAGACAATGAGATTCAAGTAGGCTGATCAATGAAACAGGGGCCCCCCAGCCCCTCTACCTTGGGATTAACACTGGAATAATAATAATAACACTAGGTAACGCCCTAAACTCCCTGGTTATCTCATCTTCCCACCTACAGCTCTCCTAGCTAGTGGGCATCTTCCTTAATTGGAGGGTGGCCCCCTTAAGGGCAATTTCCCTTAGTGGACATCATCTCCCTTAAGGACCCATCTCCCTTAAGTGGGGTTGGCCCTTAAGCTGGGGTCTCCCTTGATGGGCATCTCCCTTTAGCAGTGGGAGGTATCTCCCTGAAGCATCCATCTCCCTTGGGGAAGGGCCCTTTTACCTCGGGGGGGCTGCCTCCCTTAGGGATATTCCACCCCCTCTTAAGCTAGAGTTTCCCTTAAGCTTCTTCTATCTTTGGTGGCAGATAAGCCTGCTTAGTGTGTTTTATTGTGCTACCCCAATAAATGTCTTTATTTGGAGACAGCCTGAGCAAATTCTTTTGAGATGATCTTGTACCCCAACATTTTGTGGTGCCCCTGAACCTCAACATTTCCACATGAATAACTGATAACATTTTGTTTGCCTTCACAATTAGGGGGAAAGGGGTAGAGGGAGGGAGTGAATCTGAAACTCAGAATTTAAGAAGAATGTTAAAAATAAATTTAAAATGAATTGGGCAGGCAGGGGGATAAATAAGTACTGAGATAGCTGTCAGAAAGACTTGGTTCAAATCTCACCTCTAACAACTGTTAACTGAGTAACTCTGCTCAAATCATTTCAACTTTATCTCAAGCAATTTCCTAGGACTTATTTAGTTTCAAAAATAGGTTGCATTCTACATTGGTGGAGAATTTCCCCATTGGGAGTTCAGTACTCTGACAAAATCACAGGTCTTTTGAGTATTCAAGTGATACCAATATAAATAATATGCACTATAAATATCATTGCATTATTATCTAGCTTCTGAAATCTTTGAGGACCATTAAAAAAAATAAAAAACCTAGGATAGTTTGGTATGTAGAAGAGATGAAGAACATAAGTACTGTGAGTTTTGGGGCACATTTCCCCAGAAAAAGTAACCACTGAGACCAAAAGAACAGACCCACAGGGTCATAAAAGAGACCCTCAGGCTCTATTTTATTCCCCTCTTACTAGAAATAACAGGACAAACCAGACTTCCTGGAAGAAGGCCTCCACTATTTAGAGATTTACTGACAACACAAGAGTATTCTAATAATACTAATCACAGAAAAATGAGTTTTACCAGTGGAACAAACCTGATCTTTAGCAACTCCAGTGACTCCAAGTTTACACTACTGATATAAATAAAAAGTCTGAAAGACAAAGTTTCTGAGTAATTAATAATCAATTTATTAATTACACTAGGAAATAATCAATAAACTGATGGTCAGTGGTCTCTAGGTAACCAAAAACCATGAAGATCACTGAATGCTTAAATATCTTTGGAAAAGTGGGTGCCCCAGATAATTGCAAATCACCTCTGATTGGTGAATAATTAATAAGAGAGTGGGCTTTCAAATGAGGAGGTGGGCTGAACGTCTTCAGCTCCACTGGCTGAGAACTTGGCTTGGTCATGAGACTCAGCTGCCTCTAGCAATCTGAACAAAGGAACCTATCTCTACTCAGACCATGTTGAACAATGGTGGAGGGGGGGTTTCAAGGGCATGAACTCACTGATTGAAGGCTGCAATTCACCTAGATTAGATTGTGTTTACCCTTTAGTCAGAAGTAACCTCTCCTAGTTGGCCCAAGAATAAGAATATTCCTGGAGGATTAGGCCAACCTCATCATTAGCCCTGTACTTCAGAGACTGTCAGATCTACAAGGACTGGTCCCTGAATGAGGAAATAGAAAGGAAAAAAAAAACCCTCAATCCTAATTTGTTTATTAATATAATAAAAATAATTACTTCTCTCACTTGTCCCTATTTCCTTTTTGCCACTCAAGGCTACTGATTTGCTATGGATTTTAAGGAAGCCTAAAAAGTTATAAAAATTTTTATATAATCTGTACCCTAAAAAGCTGAAGCTGCTACAAGCCCCAACAATCCTCCTTAATGAGCTCATAAATTTCTTTTTTACTTTCAATTTGGCTACTGATTTTTTGTCCATCAGTCTTACAAACCTTATGGTAGATTAAATTCTTCCAGGGTTCTCTTGGAACCCGGGCTGGGAAATTCCTTCAACAGTAAGGGAAATTCTCTCCACTAATACAGATCAGTATTAACTCTATAACTTATATATAGTCTTAAAGAACTGCACTGCAAGGTTAAAGGATTTACTTATTGTCACATAGCTAATACACATGAATGGAAAGACCTGAATTCAAGTCTTCATGATTCCAAAGCCTGCCCTCTATCTATCACACTGACTTTTATTACTAGGACACTAGTAATTATAAAATGTAAATAGAATACATTAAGTCTTAAACTATGATATTCTGTAATAATCTATGAGTCAAGAAATATGGATAATTAATCCAAATTTACAACTAATTGTTGTGAACTATGAATTACTTCTATTTTTCACCAAAGTCCCACTGCAGTGTCTCAGTGAGATATGGGGGTGACCAAGGGATCTAAAAGGCTATACCAGTGGATCACGAGTCTGGCAGATCTTACCAAGCAGAAACGTCCTCAAGTACAGGGTTGGCAGTCTAGTGTTACGCAAAGAACAACTGATGTAGCAATTAATGAAGAGCAAATACTAAGGTGTGAAAGGATTTCAGTCTATATCCATAAAGGGAACACTCATTTTAAAGAAGTCACAGATCCCAAAGAGTACTGCAGCATTAATTATAAATTGCACAAACCACTAGATAAATCAGAATCACTCTACTATCCTATTTTTCTTCACTATCACAGAAAAAGGATATCTTACATGTAAGGAGAACATAATGTTAACCAGAAAAGACAAAAGCCAACAAGCTAACAAAATCATACGAAAAGGAATTCCCCTAGAACACAACTCCCTCTATAGAAACTTTTTTTTGTTTTCTTAACTACATTCAAGGAAGTGGTCTCATCTATGAAGTCACAATGTTGCAAATTGCAAAAGGACAGCTGGTGAAATTACTATCAAGTCTGAGTGCTAGGAAGTAGTTTCCTCTTTCTTCGTTTTGAAAGCAGTACTTTAAACCACCTAAATATATATTTACTGCTTAAGGAAGGAAAAGCATAGTTTAAGTTAATACATTATGAAACTCACTACCTGGTTCCTATATTTTTGTAGAACTAACTATTCTATATTAGTTATTTTGTCAAAAAAAAAAACCTTGCTTAAAGTTTTAACTTTCTGTTATCTGAGAATACAGAATTTAAGAGTCACTCCAAGCTGTCAAAACTTTTTGAATCATGGCTCTATCATCTACTATAATAATTACCTGGTCTACCTACTTCTCATGGATCTCAAGGCCTGAATTAAATAATATTCATCAAAATGATTTAAAGTATAAGATGCAATTTTTACAGGTGTGATTATTCATTCCACTGAAGTAGTTCACAACGCTTCTACACATTAAGGGATAGTATCCTTGTGCTGCTGTGGCCAAAAATATCCATCATCTGGTAGCCAATCCTCTGGATGATGAACTTTTCCAATCTTAGCTAGCTTAGTCCTCATACAACAAACAGATAATCTATAATGGGGTCCATACTTAATGATTTCCCAGTTTGATAGGACCTGCTGAAGTTGGCAGTCTCCTCTAGCATAACCTTCAAGACCTCAAAGCCAGTTCCCTGCCCATGATGGATCAATGGAATAGGAATTTTGAGAATAAAGTTCTATATACATGTAAGACATCATTTTAAAATAATATAGCATAATAAAAAGATCTTCAAGATATCTTCGCTCTTTTGTAAGAATCTAAAAAAATGCAAATCTAGAGATTCTTGATTTGTATATCTAATTGACAATATAATTTCTTTTTGCATAAAATTAATACTTACTGGTGAACACCAAGGACTTCCCAATCCTTTCCAACATCCTGGGGACCCATTAAGCTTTGCATTATATCAGGACAAATTTCTGTCAATTTACAAAGAAGTGACCAACCCACCTGAAAAGTAATAAAGGCAAATATGTTTATTTAATGTATCAAATTATGTGAACATGATAAATGAAATAATTTTTCAAAACTAACTATGCAATGAAATTCTGAGAAGTATCAATAGGTAATAAAGTTGCTTTCTACAAAAAAAAAGCATTATAATACAAGAAAGGCAGTGTAAGTCAAGCAAAAAGCATTATTGAGTGCTTACTATGTTATGTGCCAGACACTAGGATACAAAGAAAAACAAAAAATATAGACTCTATCCTCAAATATCATAATTCTAATGGAGGAAATAACATGTAAATTAATAAGTATAGGTAAGGTCATCTAAAAGTGTAGGTGTCTATAGAGACCAGGCTTTGAGCTAAACCCCGAGGGAAGCCAGGGAGGTAAGGAGACTGAGATGATCAAGCACAAGTCAATCAAGAGATTAGCTAAAGTTGTGCATGCTAAGTGACTGACTGGCATCCCAATGTCAAAGCTTAACAGGAAAAGTATATTTGGAATAATTAATAACTATGCAATGACAGTATGAATGTGAAATGGATAACAACAGATATAGCTATTCAAACAAAAACCCATATATGAAATATAAGGCTCATCACCAAAGGGTAGCTATGGAAAGATTAATATTCCTTCTTCAAAAAACAGGGAGATTAATAGATGTTTCCACAGCATTCAATAAAGAGGTTTAACAAAATAACAAAATCACTTTTGGAATTAATTAGTAGTCTTTGCTTCAGAGATCAACCTTCCTGAAATGGCTGAGATCCAAAAGTGGAATTGTTCTGGGATGAGACTGACTCAGGCCTGACTCCTGGCAGTTTAGGTGGGATTTTGGAATAAGTTGAGATAGTTACAGTCTCTCATTCAACCATTAACAAAAAAGAGTTTTATTTATCCACAGAAGGAGACAGATTCACTACGAAGAGGCACTGAGGACACTGAAAATTGATTCAGCTAATAGAAGCTCCCTCGCCTGAGGTATTGATTATGATTCACCAACCAAGCATCAGACTGCCCATAAGGCTTCCTGATGGCTGCTTTGTACTCAAGCAATGAGGAAGTAATATTAACTCTTAAGTCTTTAGTCCCAAGCCAACAAACTTTGGAAGAACGTTTCAATACTTTTTGAGGAACTAGCCAAATCTAATTGGATGGAGGGGTTAGGATATTGTTCCCACCATATTCCACCCCTTTGAAAGTCAAGCTCCTTAAAGGTCTTCTAGAGAACTTTCCACCATGACTTTAGGGCTATAACTATTCTTTCCAGTATTAAAGAAGCCTGACACAGGTAGCACTAAAGTAGAAAGAAAGAAACTAAAACAAAAATATAACAAAAATAAAACAAAAAAAATGTAATAGTTCTTTTAAGGACCAAGTCCCAGGGCTAAATGATCAGGCCCACTGGTGGGTGATGTCAGATCTTTGTAGTTCATTCACAATGGTTCTCTTGATGTAAAAAGGTGAACATAAGTAGGACAATTTATTAATAACAACAATATTATAAAGACAAACAATCTTGAAAGACTTAGAAAATTTGATTAACACAATGACCAACCACAATTCCAGAAGATTCATGATGAAACATACTATTCATTTCTAGATAGAAAGGTAATGGACTCATAGTACAGATTGAAGCATATTTTCTTGGACGTGGTTTGAAAAAGGTATTTATTTTGCTTAACTATACATATTCGTAACAAGTTTTGTTTTTCTTGCTTTCTCAACGTGGGAAGGAGAGAAGGAGGTAGAAGGGAGAGAATTTATAACTGGAAATAAAATTGAGTTGCCTAAAGCACTTGAATGGTTAAGTAACTTGCCCATGAGCATATAACCAGTGTATATATATGTCAGAAGTATGACTTAAACCTAAGTGTTTCTGACACTGAGGCCAGCTCTCTATAAACTACACCACAACTATTTCTACTGTATACTTCTCATAATTATAAATAAGGCACAGAGTTGATGCTTAATAAATATTTATTGACTGATTATTGCTATAACCGTTTATGATTTACAAAGCACTTTTCTCACAATCAATCCGAGTTAAGTAACACAGATATTATACCCAGATTTAGAGACAAGAAACAGCTAATATCAGAACTTGATTTCAAATCCATGTCTCTCAAGTCCCAAGTCCAGTGCTCTTTTATTACCTTCATTGAATTTTAGAGATAGAAGGCACCTAAGTGGCCCCCCTCAAAAAAGAATGCCTCGACCACCTACCCAATAAGTGGTCATCCAGTCTCTGCTTGAAGACCTTTAAGGAAGGCGAACCCAACACTTTTGAAATAGCTAATTCCAATTTTGAATAGCTCTAATTATTAGGAAATTTATTCTACTATCCAGCCTAAATTTGCCTCTTGGCTACTTGTACCCATTACTCCTGGCTTTTTCTTCTAAAGTCAAACAGAACAAGTCTAATCCCTCTTCCACATGACAGCCCTTCAATTACACATCCTAAACCACCCTTATCCCTCATTTTCTCTTATCCAGGCTCAACATTCCTAGCTCCTTCAATCAGTCCTTTATGTGACATGAACTCCAAGCTCTTCACCATTCTGGTTGACCTTATCTGAAATCCAGTTTATCAATGTCCTTCCTAAATTGTGGTGCCAAGAATATAACACAAAACCCCAGGTGTGATCAGGGCAATGTACAACAGGACTACACTACGACCTCCTTCTATACACAGTCTGGCATGACAAAAACAAAAAAAACAGTGAAAAATTCTATCATTTTACAAATCTGCTTGCATCAGTTTTCTTAACTGTGAAATAATAATAAAATAGCACATACCTCCCAACGTGGTTGTGAGGATCAGATGAGATAATATTTGTAAAGCACTCAGCACAGTGCCTAGCACCATCATTAGTAGTGGTGGTAGTAGTTGTGATGGTACTACTACTATTTCTACTGCTACTACTACTGCTGCTGCTGCTACCACCACCACCACCACCACTACCACCACCACTACCACTACTACCACCACCACCACCACCACCATGACTACTACTACTCTAAGAGGTTGCTTTCCTTTTTAAAATGATGTGCTGTGAATTCTATCCACCAAATGAGAAAATAATAAACTACTAAACTTTAAGTCAGGCTTCCATTGCCCTGAACACTGGCAGTATTGCACCTACTTTTGAGTGCCTTTATCATAGAACCCATCAAATATTCCTGTACTGGGGGATACAATACAATTCTGAGCTATCCCAGAAAGATGCAGAAACAATACTAAGCCACCCCTGATCTGCAGAGTACCCAAGAGGCTAGAAGAGTTTCAGATACATGCCAGGGGTTCAGTCTAACAACTCCTATGGACCATACAGATAAAATCCAGCTTATACTAGCCTGTTTCCAGAGGGTTCTTGATACCACAGACACCTTAGACCTAACTCAAACATTAATTGGAGAAGGGAAATATCAGTTACCTGATAAACACACACTTACTTAAATAAAAAAGATAACATGGGAGGTCATTAGAATATAACAAAATCAAAAACCTGTCTATAACTACCAGATGACATGATTTGTCTTAATTATCTTTACATTTAGGTCCACAAGAGTACTTCATGTAAAATAAACATTTAATAAATGATTGCTGAAATGAAATCTTGGAATATTCCATATGTGAAATTTTTATTTTAGTCAGACAGTTACCTAGTGTCACAAAAAAAAAAGTCTGTATCATATCTTTGGTTTTATCTGATTTTTGTTTACATCTAAACTCAAACTAAAAAATCCCACATCGTAACTTGGGAAAAGTTACTTTTTTCTTGTCATGTAAACTACTACACAAAACTACCTTGTTGTCTTTTAATTTAATAGCTTAAAATTTTGCTTAGCCTCTCAAATGAATATAATTTAATATCACGTTTGCTATCAGCATTCACCAAGTTCAACGTTCCCTTCAGCCACCTAACTATCCTGAAGATGAAAAAACTGATTTCCCTTTGCAAATACATGAAATGAGCATGTCTACTTGTACAGGGCTCAATTCATACTTTTAAAACTCTATCATCATCGCAGAGCCTATTTAGACTATAAATCACATTTTCATCCGTTATAATACTTAATGCCCCATTCAACACAGCAAATTCCTGTGGTTCCTATGGCAGATTATTGAAATGTTACTACTGTATTTTGGTTTCATTTTATTTGGATTTGATCATAAAACACAAATGAAATATAACTTGGGGTGGGGCAAGACATCAAAGCACTTCTTATTAAATACTGCAAAGCAAATTGAGCCATGGGATGAATACTGAGGCCAATATGTTATGTATGACAAACTGGATTTGGAATCAGAGGGTTTGGTCTAAACCCCACCTCTAATATTAATATCTGAGTGACCTGGATCAAATCAGTTAACCTTTGTGACTCAGTTTCCTAAATTGTAACATGAACTGGACTTGATAACTCCTAAGATTGCTTCCAGTTCTAAATCTAAGATCTTTTAAACAGTACTAAGGAAAAATTTTATATCCCAAATGAGGGTCTTAACAATATAGCTATTAGGGGCAGCTAGGTAGCACAGTGGATAGAGCACTAGCCCTGAAGTCAGGAGGACCTGAGTTCAAATCCGATCTCAGACCAAACACTTGCCACTTACTAGCTGTGTGACCCTGGGCAAGTTACTTAACCCCAATTGCCTAAAAAAAACAAAACAAAACAAAAATATAGCTATTATCTTAATTCATTTTCACATTTAGCACTTAGAGGCAACTAGGTTGCTAGGCTAGTGCTAGACCTATAATCAGGAAGACTAGGGTTCAAATATGACCTCAGGCACTTACTAGCAGTGTGACCTAAAACAAGTATATTAATCTCTATTTGCTTTAATCCACTGGAGAAGGAAATTGCAAATTAACTCCAGTACCTCTATCCAAAAAAAAAACCCCAAACAAACAATAAACACGGACAGTATAGTCCACAGGATCACAAAGAGTTAGGAGTCAGACACAAGTGAACAACAGCAAAGCACCTACCAAGTAAAAGACACTGTACTGGTGTTGGAAATGCAAAGACAAAAAGTAGCTTACATTATATAACACAACTGATAAACCTGGCCAAATATTTTAGTAGCTGTTTAAGCTACAGTACTACACTTTGTTTCATAATAAATGGTTAAATATTTACATTTATATATTCATCTCCCACCTCAGATAATCTCCATTCCCCTAATACCCCACCCTGTTCTCCCTCCTATTTGCTCCCTCCACTAACATTCCACTACAACTGTCATTTGTCAATTTATTTTATGCTATTATTTAAAGGCTGGTTCAGTATGAGTCACTAACTTTTTGCATTAAAAAAAATACATTCATCAAACATTTAACAACCTCTCCATTTTAAAAATCACAGCAAGCACAAAAACTGAGAGGTCCCAGTATCCTAAATAGTAAGAACAGGCTTATAAAGGGTTCATATGAACAGTTTCTCCTAAGAACTTTGAGCTTAAAACATTTCTTTCCAAACAGGAAAGGGAAAAGATAAAACGAAATATATTTACCTGTTGCACACCTGCGACCCTCATGTAGGAATCCAAAACAAATAGCAAAGGCATATGGACATTTTTGCCTTGAAATAACTTGGAAGCTGGGGAAGAAAACAAACGAAAACTATTATTCACTGTAGCTTTTTAAAATCAAAAGAATAAAAGAAAATAAGTGAAAGCAAGTTCTTTTCGTTTTCAATTCCTTTCCTAATAGCGATCTTTGCTCCCTGAGAGTTTGAGCAAATGCTGAAAACTTATCTCCAACGAGTTTCCTTCGAAGTGCTCATGATTTCACGGATGTGACTATATTCCTTTCATTGCTATATTTGCCCCAAATTTAAAAAAAAAATGAAGAAGGAAACAACTACTAAAGGATTACCGTGATCAGAGTACGTTAACATCAGCATATCCTCTAGGATCTGGATCAGGGTTTCTATCTGTTTTCCTTCTTGGACATTTTGCAGCCTAACTACCAACTTCTTCAGAGTTTCTTCTTCCTTTTCTTCATCCCCGAGGCTGCAGCCACTGGCCATGACGGAGCCCACTCGTACGTGAGGCCCTCCCCTGGCCCCAACCCTTAGGCAGCGCGCTCCTAGGCCGGACTGGGGAACGCTGACCCCGCGGATGCCAGAAAGTCCCGCAAGCAGGGACGCTCTGTGGCTTTTCGGCCTGTTTGGGAAAACAGCTGCTACCCCGCCCTTCCTGAGTCGTCCTACCGCCCCACCCCCAGGGCCGGAAAATGAACTCAATGCAAACTTTGGGGGGAGGAGATAAGAGGCAGCCGCCAGAAACTCCTAACGCTGGAATCTTCCAACCTCTCTGTGGTAAATCTGAAATTGCTGGGGCTAGAGCACCAATCAGGCCTGGATTCTGGCCCCCAGGAGTACTGATCCGTTCAGAGACCACGGCAGAAAGACTTAAATTGGCTGGATTTAAAGGATTAAGCATTTATTTAGCCCTAGCCAGTAGAGCAGAGGAATTGGGGTTAGAAAGCAAGAGATTGCTAGAGGGAAGGGAGAGCCACCAAGAGCCAGTAGGGTCTAAATAAGGAAACCTAGGAAAGAAAGACATGGTAACTTAGTCTCTTATTTAAAAATAGAAAGCCAAAAAATATATTTAATAAGAATGTATATGTAGAGCCTATATCAGATTGCTTGTGGTCTTGGTTAGGGAGGTGGGATGGGAGGGAGAGAAAATTTACAACTCAAAAGCTTATGGAAGTGATTGGTGAAAACGCAAAATAAATTAATTATAAAAGGTACCTAAAAAAATAAAAATAGAAAACCAAGGTTTTGTTAGAAAAGGCATTATACCTTCAAGGGAAATATTTTGGGATTTAAAGCCTGGCATTAATTGAACACAAAGGTCCTCAATTTTGTAATTGTTTAAGGACATAACATGAAGAGACCACAACCTTGAGAGAAAGCAACAAAGGCAAGTCTCTGGAATTTTGGGATGGTAACCACTGTCCAAAAGAAACTGCTTGAGCTTGGATTTTTTGTTTTTCTTTTTCATTTGGATGAGACTAACTGCAATTTTGTTAAATGGATTTTGTTGTGATTCTTGGATTCGAGCCATTGGAGGAGGCACTTGAAAAGATAATGTTAAGTTCTCCACAGAAGCCCAGAGATATTTCCTGAAATGTTATAGATATTGATAAATATATTGGAGATAGAGACAAATGTGACAATTTCACCCCATCTAATTTAGATGAGGACAGATAAGGGATGCTGTATTAATATAAAAAAGTTATCTCTCCCTCCATCTCCATTCCTCCCTCTATCCACTGCACCATCTAGCTGCCTACACACACACACACACATAGCATCTGCAGAATTGTCAGACACATGTCCATCACCTACTAATGGTGTATGTCACAGGGGTAAATAAACTGCAGTTTACATGTCTGTGTTATGTGCTGGTTTATTTGGACTGTAGCTAGTAAGAACTCTAAAAATTCTCTCAATACAGGCCCAGAAGAGACTCCAGCTTTCTTTTTGTATTGCTCTATCTTTCCCTCATGTATTATACTTCCATTGTATGAACTCCCAACATTGATTGGCATATCCCTCTATGTCATGGCAGGCAGCAGCACGGCGTGGGGCGCCCACCCCCCCCCCCCCCACCCTCCCCCCCCCCCCCCCCCGCTTTGACTCCTGATTAGCCTTGGTGGCTAGTTTCCTACTCTCTTTACTGGCTTTAAGACCTACTGCCAGCCATAGTAATAAGCCAGCAAAGTCTGTATTCTATGTGTTAAAGAGTGAGAGATTTAACGAAAATGTTTGTTTCCATAAAATTGAAATAACCATTAGAAAAGTAATTAAGTAAAACTGGATACAGCCAGTCTTATCTCGTTTCGCTGGCAGAAGTCAGTAAGTAGGACAAAAGGTTAAGCTTTACTTAGAGTGTGCATACTTAATAGGCTCATGAATACTAACTTCTCCACCACCTCCAGGCGGTAGGGTTTAAGATGCCTCTTTCTCAACATGCTATGTATGTAGAAGAAGACATGTCAAGGAGTAGATGTGTAATAGGTGTGCTAGAAAGTTGTAACTCTGGAGTATTCAGTCAATGAGGAAACAGAGGAGGGATTTTTCGGACTGGATTAGAGATAGTGAACTCTTGCTTTGGTTCAATGTGTCCAAGTCCATAGGACATTCACAGTTGCAACTGAGCTTTTAATTTCATCTTTCCTGAGTCCAAATGAGTTATTTCTCACAAGAGTGACTGGGCCAAAAAGCCCAGCCACAGCATAGGCATCATCACTTTGATGTTGCATAAATTTAGACATCGGTTCAACTAGCTAATGTTGATAAAACAGCACAAATCAGAGATACCAGTTTTATGATGCTCAGTGTGACATACCCCACCAGCAGTTGCTAGTACTTCACAGTTCAGCTAGGAGTATGACACAAATTAAAAGCTCAAGAACAGAATTTCTAGGTAAATAAACAATTTGTTAATTAACCTAGCTGATAATCAATAAATTGACGGTCATTGGTTTCTTTCAGTAACCAAAGACACTTATTAGAGACACTGAATGCCTTAAATATTTTTTTGAGAGGGCATATGAGATTAGTAGACTGGTAGACATTTATGGGTTTTTTGTTTTTGTTTTTGTTTGTTTTGTGAGGCAATCAGGGTTAAGTGACTTGCCCAGGGTCACACAGCTACTAAGTGTCAAGTGTCTAAGCCACATTTGAACTCAGGTCCTCCTGACTCCACACAGGTAGGCATTTAAATGAGAAGGTGGGCTAAAAATTTTCAGCTCCTCCTACTGAGAACATGGCTTGATCATGAGACTCAGCCACTTCCAGCAATATGGACAGAGGAATATCACGCAGACCACTCTGGTTGGTTTTCTCCTTCATGAGCTGGGTTACCCTAAATTATAGTAGAGGGATGCAAGGGCATAGGTTTAATGCTTTAGGGTTGGAATCTACCTACATTAGACTCTGTTTACACTTTAGATAGAAGTAAGGTCTCCTAGTTGTAGATGTTCAGGCCACTGACCAACTGGCTAACTAGAGATCCTCACTGTGGAGAAGCAGCACCTCTAAGTTCAGCAATTGAATACTCTATGTAATTCATGTCACTGCCCACAAGCTTGTGTCTCTACTCACAAGAAAGGGCCCTTCCTACAAAAATGATATGGAATAAACAAGCTGATCAGGCCTGTGCAGCTCAGTGAATTCATGCTTGCATAGGTCATAATAATGAGAAAATTATGCAGCTGTGAGCCCATGAGAGAGAACTCCACATCACCCATAGTGAATCAAGCCATGCCCCCAAATACTATGAAACTTGTCAGTTCTGAAAGTATATCCTAAATCCCCTGTCCAAGAAGATCCCATGAGGGGTGTGGGCCAATACACTGTTGTGTTCTTTGTATATTCTGATGGCTATAAATACCTGTAAAGAACATGGGATCACCAACCTGACTATAAGTCTATCATCAAAGCCCTGCCTCTGGCTGGGATACCTAGACTAGAGTCTTAATTGAGTAGGGGGCATTACATGGTCAGACCTGCCCTTTAGGAAAATCACTTTGGTGACTGAATGGAGAAGATGGATTGGAGTGGGAAGTTTATGACAGAGACACCACCCAGCAAGCCATTGCAATAGTCCAGATGTAAGTGATAAGGGCCAGCACCAAGGTGGTGGCACTATCAGAAGACAGAACCTGGTGCATTTAGAGATGTTACAAAAGTGAAATCAACAGGCCTTGGCAACACCTTGAGAGACAGTGAGGAGTCAAGGATGATGCCTAGGTTATAAGCATAGGTGCTACTCTTGATAGTAAAAGGGAAATTTACAAAGGGAGAGGATTTAGGGAGAAAGATAATAACTTCTATTTTGGACAGGTTGAGTTTAAGATATCCTTCATCTAGTTTGAGATGTTTGAAAGGCAATTGGAGATATGATATTAGAGATCAGCAGAGAAGTTAGGGATGGATAAGTAGATTTGAGAATCATCAGCATAGAGATGATAACTAAATACATGGGAGCTGATGAGAAGGGTTTAGGATAGAAAAAGGGCCTTGTGGGACAGCCATGAAGTGAATTAGAATCCAATAAAGGAGACTACGAAGAATCAGTCTGGTAAGTAGGAGAAGCAGGAGAAAGTGGTGACCTGAAAACTTAGAGCAAAGATAGTATCAAGGAGAAGAGGCTGATTGATAGTATTAAAGGCTACAGAAAGGTCTAAAGGAATAAGGATTGAGAAAAGGCCACTAGATTTGGCAATTAGAAGATCATTAGTAATGTTGGAGAGAGCAGTTTCAGTGCAATGATGAGATCAATAAAAGATTGTAAAAAGGTGAGAAAGTGGAAGTAAGTATTATAGATGGTCTTTTTGAGGAGTTCAGACACAAAAGGCAGAAGAGATATATAGGATGATAGTAGGGATGGAAAGATCAAGTGAAGATTTTTTGAGGATGGGGGAAAAATGGGCGTGTTTATAGGCTGTGGGGAAAGAGCCAGTGGACAGGGAAAGATGGAAGATAAGTGTGAGATTAGGGATAGTTGAGGGGTAATCTGTTGGAGTAGACAGATTAGAATGGGATCCCTTATAGAGGGGTTTGCCTTGTCAAGGAGTAGTGTCACCTCTTCATGTGAGATTGGTGAAGAAAATAGTGGCAGAAGGCATCTGTGTGATAAGAGATGAGGAGAAGGGGAGAAGGGGCTCTCAGCAAAAGGCCTCAGTTTTTTTCAGTAAAATATGAGAAAAAGGTTCTCAGCTGAAGTGGGGCCACAGTAATGTTTTGAAGCTTTGAGGGAGAGTGTGGAAGGTGTTCTGAAGAGTTTCTGCTGCTTTGAGGTTCCCTAGCCATTTCATTCCCAAGCAAAAGGTACCTCCTCACAGTTCGATGCTTGTTGCAATTTAGGTGGAAGGCAATGGGTGGGATTGAGCTAACAAAGTCTCTGTAGCAGGAGGGGAATCCCTGTGTGGGATCTAGACACAAATTCAAGTGGATTTGTACATCTCTGCTTGACAGGTTAATCTAAGAAGGGTGCTCAGTAAAGATATTAAGGCATTAATAAGGATTCTCTTGTGTTTATTCATAAGACTTTAAACTTATCAGGCTTGTTGTTTTCTTATTCTGTGGATTTAGGTATAATTGTTCTATATTTGGTTCATAATTTCTCTCTCTC